TTGATTGTTGCCATCCTAGTGGGTGTGAAATGGAGTCTCATTGTGGTTTTGATTTGCAGTTCCTTAATGATTAGTGATGCTGAGCATCTTTTCATGTGCTTATTGGCCATTCGTGTATGTTCTTTGGAGAAACATCTATTCAAATCCTTTGCCCATTTTAAAATTGAGTTATTTGACTTTTTATTGTTGAGTTATTGAGTTCTTCATATATTCTGTATAAAAGCCTTTATCAGTATATATGATTTACAGATATTTTCTACCAATCTGTGGGTTGTCTTTTTTCTTCATCATTATCTTTTTTTTTTTTTTTTTGAGTAAGGGTCTTGCTCTGTCACCCAAGCTGGAGTGCAGTGGTGCCATCATAGCTTACTGCAACCTTGAACTCCTGGGCTCAAGCGATTCTCCTGCCTCAGCCTCCCAAAGCGCTGGGACTACGGGCAATGAGCTATGTGCCTGGGTCTTCATCGTATCATTTGAAGCACAAAAGTTTTTAATTTTGATGAAGTCCAATTTATCTGTATTTTCTTTTGTTGCTTATGTTTTTGGTGTTATATGCTTATACTTTTGCCTAGCCTGAGGTCACCAAGATGTACCCCTGTGTTTTCTTCTGGGTTTTTATCAGTTAAGCACTTACATTGGGTTTATGATCAATTTGAGCCAATTTTCATGTATAGTATATACGAAACTTTATTCTTTTGCATGTGAATATCCAGTTGTTCCAAGCACCATTTCTTAAAAGGACTGTTCTTTCTCAGAGAATTATTTTGGCACCCTTGTTAAAAATCAATTGATCATAAATATGTCGGTTTATTTCTGGACTCCGAATTGTGTTCCTTCAACCTATATGTCTGTCATTGTGCCAGTACAACACTGTCTTTATTGCTGTGGCTTTGTGTACTAAGTGTTGAAAAATTATTTCTTTTTTTTGAGACAGAGTCTTGCTTTGTTGCCCAGGCTAGAATAAGTGCCGTGGCATCAGCCTAGCTCACAGCAACCTCAAACTCCTGGGCTCAAGCAATCCTGCTGCCTCAGCCTTCCGAGTACCTGGGACTACAGGCATGTGCCACTATGCCTGGCTAATTTTTTCTATATATATATATTAGTTGGCCAATTAATTTCTTTCTATTTTTTATAGTAGAGACGGGGGTTTCGCTCTTACTCAGGCTGGTCTTGAACTCCTGACCTTGAGCAATCCGTCCACCTCAGCCTCCAAGAGTGCTAGGATTACAGGCGTGAGCCACTGCACCCGGCCCTAAGTTTTGAAACTGACAAGCGTAAGTCCCTGGACTTTTGCTTTCAGGATGGCTATTCTAGGTTCCTTGCATTTCCATATGAATTTTAGGATCAGCTTGTCAATTTCTGCAAAAAACCAGCTGAGATTTTGATGGGAATTGCATTGAACCTATACCTGTTTGACAAATACTGTCATTATTAACATTATTAACAATACTAAATCTTCTGAACCGTGAGCATGGGCTATTTTTCAATTTATTTAGATCTTTAATTTCTTTCAACAAAGCTTTAGAGTATTCAGAACATAAGCTTTGTACTTTTGTTAAATTTATTCCTAAATGTTTTATTATTTTTGATGCTATTGTAAATGGAATTGTTTACTCAATTTCATTTTTGAGTTGTTCATTACAAGTATACAGAAATACAGTTGATTTTTGTGTATCGATTTGTATCCTGCAACTTCGCTGAACTCATTTAATAGTTCTAATAGTTTTTTAGGATTTCTTAGGATTTTCTGTTAATGAAAACATGGCATCTGTGGATAGAGATAGTTTTACTTCTTTGTTTCCAATCTGGATACTCTTTCTTTCCCTCCCTCCCTTCCTTTTTTTTTCTTTTCTTTCTTTTCTTTCCTCTTTCTTTCTTTCCTTTCTTTTTTTTGCCCAGGTTAGAAACTCTAGTACAATGTTGAATAGAAGTGGTGAAATAGGGCATCTTTATCTTTTTCCTTATTTTAGGGGGCAGGCACCCAGTCTTTCACTATTAAGTATGATCTTAGCTGTGGGTTTTTCATAGATGCTCTTTAAGGAAGTTCCCATGTATTCCTAATTTGTTGAGAAGTTCTTTTTTTTATTATTATTATCATCATGAATGGGTGTTAGATTTTGTCAAATGCTTTTTGTGCATCTGTTGAGATGATCTTGTATTTTTTGTTTTATCCTATTACCATTAAGGTTATAGGATTATCAGATGTTAAACCATTCTTGCATTTGTAGTATAAATCTCACTTGGTCACAGTATGTAACAACCCTTTTTATATGTTGCTAAATTTAGTTTCTAGTATAGGTGGTAAGGATATTTGCATCTTTCTCCCTCTTTTTTTTTTCTTTTTTTTTTTTGAGACAGGGTCTTGCTCTGTTGCCCAGGCTGGAGTGCAATGGTGTGATCATAGCTCACTGCAGCCTTGAACTCCTGGGCTCAAGAGAGCCTCCCCCTACAGCTTCCGGAGTAGCTAGGAATACAGGCACACACCACTGTGGATTTTTGCATCTGTATTCATGAAAGATATTAGTCTGTGGTTTTCTTATGATGCATTTGTCATCAGGATACTATTGGGCTCATATAATGAGTTGGAAAGTTTTCCTTCTATTTCTTGGAAGAGTTTGTGAAGAATTGGTATTGATTCTATAAATGTTTGATAGAATTCACCAGTAAGGCCATTTGGGCCTGCCCTTTTTTGGTGTGTAGTTTTTCAATTGTTGATTCTATCTCGTTATAATTTATTCTGATTTAATATTTCTTCTTGAGTCAGTTTTTCCAGTTTGTGTCTCTCTAGGAATTTGTCTTTTTCATCTAAGTTATCTAATTTGTTGGCATATAGTTAGTTCATAGTCTTCCTTTATAAACCTATTTATTAAGTAATCTAATATTTCTATAGAGTTGCTAATAAGATCCCATCTTTCATTCCTGATTTTAGTAATTGAGTCTTCTCTCTTTCTTTCTTGGTCAGTCTAACTAAATGTTTGTCAGTTTTGTTGACATTTTCAAAGAAGCAACTTTTGGTTTTGTTGATTTTCTCTATTGTTTTTCAACTCTCTATTTGACTTATTTCCTTTCCAATCTTTATTAACCCATTGTTTTTAAATCACATTGTCACTATAATACATTATGAGATCTTCACCCCCCCCCCCTTTCAAGTGAGCAAAGAAGCATGGGACTCTCTGAAGAGTTTTAATTAGCCATGTAAAGTGTGCTGCTCTGTGACTTATATATGTTTTTCTCTGTGGTCCAAAATTAGAAAAAGTTAATGTATTGGCTTTTATTTTGTACATCATAGTTTGAGTGTTAATACCTGCTCTGAGATGTTAGTTCTGTTCTGAGGTATGAACTGTAGTAAGTAGAGTTTCCCCTTTCCTGTGTTATTTATTTTTTTTTAATAATCACCATCTGCAAGTAACCTTTCCGGTGGTAAATATTGCTACTGGTCCCCTATTTATCAGTCAGTGTGCTAAACCTAGCCCTTTTCATTAGATTGAATTTGTTAGGTAAGACAATACTTAGTTTATATAATAGATGTGTGGGAAGATAATGAGTTTGCTAATTATTTCTTTCCTGTTAAACTTGAACTAAGGTCATACGTCGTCGTAAGTTCATAGCCTTCTTACTTTTAAGAAAACAATTATTTAAAGCAAGTTAGACACTAGGGTGGCAGAAGCTGGAAAATAAAGACTTGGACTCTACTCTTTGGAATTCTCTATCTCTTTGGTGTCATAGACAAGCCTTGGGACAAGTCAGGGAATCATGGGAGGTGGTGGGGACCACATTCCAGGAGATGTGATGGTATTTCAGCACCTGGGAGGACATTGAGGCCTATGATTAGTCCAGGAGGACTCATGTTCAGGTAGCAGAATGCCTTCAGCCTCTTCTATTATTCCTCGAGAACAGTTCTTATCTTCACTGTGCAATAACCATGATGTAATTTTAGCAAAGCAAGGATGTTTAATAGCTGTAGGATCGTGGTGGTTTGCCCACAATCCTGCTTTAGCTTCCCTCCTAAGTGGCACCTTCTGTATCTCTTTGGAGATTGCAGTTAGTGCCTGGACAACAACCAGCATCTCAAATCAAGATAAAGCACAATTTCGAAGATGCATTATAGTCTTTAAAAAGGTTTAACATTCCAAAAGTCCCATGGCAGTTTATCGTGTCCTTGAGAGAACTTTCAGAGCCATATTTTGCAGCAATACCCAGTCATCGAGACTTAGCTCACAGCAGAAAAACTGCTGTGTGGCTCTGCAGACCCAGTGCGGGTGCCGAAAGGAGGGCCAGGGAGGCAGGATAGGAACGAAGAGATGAAAGCCAAATGTGCTTGTCTAGCACAGGGAAGAAAACCCTGGAGGGGGTGGACTGAAATAACGTGTGTGTTCGTACATTTCTCTATAAATATATCCACATACATGCCTGGCAGATCATGCTCCTTGTCTGTAGGACCTGCAGACGCTGCTGGATTTATGTGCTACTTCGGGACACTTGGAACTCAATGCACAGTAAGAGTGGTGTTTTGGTGGGAATCCAGCCGGAGAATGTAATTTTATTCTGACCCAAATTATCTTCTGTACTTTCAGTTTTGATTAAAGTCCTGCACTTCCTGTTCTAGACTTGAATGCTGATATGAGCTTGAGAAATCCTCCATGTTCAACTTTATAGGGTGATTGCATTTCATGGAAGCCCTGGCCTTATTTAGAATTAATTCGAGTGCTGTTGAGAGCTTAAAGTTGTCTTGGATGATCTGAGGCCCGTTGCCAACATTTATTTATTAGGCACTTAACTTTATAGAAAAAAGGAACTCAGTAACTATCATCTTTACTTACAATGTCTAGATTTATATTTCAACCATGCCTAAATGCAAACATACCTCTTTGGGCCTATGATGCTGTCATTAATGTACAAATACTGTTTTCTATTTTTTATACCTTACATATGTCTCAAATACATTTCTACATTTTAATATAACATATCCAATTGTATAAAGGCCAGTGTTTACTTCACAGAATGTGGAGGCTCTGGACCCACGAGGTCGAACGTTACTGCATCTTGCTGTTTCTTTGGGACATTTGGAATCTGCTCGAGTCTTGCTCCGACACAAAGCAGATGTGACAAAAGAAAATCGCCAGGGATGGACAGGCAAGTATACTTTTAAATAATTGAAAGTCATTCATTTCGGTTTCTCTTTCTGAATTAAGGCCAGTCTCAATTACTATTTTCCTTAGAGTCATCGTTAAGACTCTTCCTCTCTTGCGATTAGGGGCTGGGATGAGCAAATGGGAGCCAGGGAGGATGCTGGTTGTTCTGCAACACAATTGTGTCCTGGGCCAGAGCCCTGGATAGAGAGTGACTCTTCATCTAGGAACAGCTCTTGGTGCAAACTTCTTCCACCATGCGTGAGCATGGAGGCCAGTTTTCTTTGAGGAATAGGGTGGTCACTGCAGTGAATCTATCAGGATAGGCAACACTCAAAAAGAAATTATACTTAGAAGTAGCTTCTTCCAGTGAAATCCTGACATTTCACTTTTTTTGCAAGCTCTCTTACTGTTGGTCAGAATAATTTTGTGTTGATGGAGCAAGGATACTCCTAGCACAAGCCCTGCCCGCCAGATCTAGCCCTGCCTGCACAAGCCCTGCCCGCCTGTGATTCCGTAATCACAGTTGTGTCATCATACGGTTAAAGCCAGTATGATGGCTCTCAAACCTTGTCAGGATTTCAGAACCAGTGGTAAGAAGGGTAGGGGTAGGGATAAGATCAAAATGCTAAGAAGGCCCTGTTTTCTTTTTCTTTTTTTTACTTAGAGCTAGGAATCAGAAGTCATGTTCACAAATGATAAGGTTGGACTATAGTCTCTCCTGCTTTGAAGAAAATTCTGGTGTTTGATTAATAAGATACTTTTTACCCTGGCTTTGGAATTGGTCAGAAAGTGATGAAATGTCACCCTTTTGTTTCCCAGTTTTACACGAGGCCGTGAGCACTGGCGATCCCGAGATGGTGTACACAGTCCTTCAGCATCGAGACTACCACAACACATCCATGGCCCTGGAGGGAGTTCCTGAGCTGCTCCAAAAAATTCTTGAGGTATCCGTAAAAATGTGACCATGCCATAGTTTCCGCCACATGCCAGCACAATAACTGGAGACATAGTTTGACAGCCTTGCATGCCTTCCTAAAGAATTTTGTGAATAGTGAATATGATCTATTGAGTATCAAGTAGCATCATTCTTTTGCCTTTCCAGTTGTTGAAGTTTGGGGTCTTTAACAAATTATGTTTCTAAGTTACTGGGCTTACCCTTTTAAGTGCTATTTCAAATTTATACGTTAAGGAAAATGGACGTCAAACACAATTTGTCTGGGTGTCTGTTTTCTTAAAGGCTGAGTATTCTTAAAGAAGCTGTGCTAAGTATCCACGACCATACGGGGATTTTCAGGACCTGTTGAGGCTCAGAGGTCTTGTGTGCAGCTTATCTTTGCCAAGCTTGTCACTTCTAGCCACTAGTATTTTGCAACTTTTAATCCATTGCCTTTATTTATTGAAAAAAATCAGTAACTCTATCAGAAAACGAACAGCTTTCTTGTAAGTAAGACAATCATTGCTCATTATTTGAACACACTTTGAAAAGAAAATTTCTGTGGCACTTAAGCTAAATCATGCCTAAGTTATTCATTTCCCATATACCACAATGAAACTTCCTGTGAAATACGCAATAGTTGTATGTGTTGTTTTAAAAATAGGTATGCATTTACGAGTGTGCAGAGATCATATGGATTTGTTATCTAACTTACTGCAGGAGGAACTATATCATTTGCCCTTTGACAAATCAGAAAATGACTTATTTAGCATGGGGTCACCCTTCATTTAAAAAATTCAGTGTAAAGGATTTTTTTCTAACCTGTATTGATCCATGTCAATGGACTGCATTAAGTTATATTCTCTGCATGAAGTTACAGACAGCCCAGAAATGACTTGTGTTCTTAATAGCACCAGAGAAGTCTTTGTTGAAGTCTTATCTTTCAACTGTGTCTCCTTGTAACAGGTGCCAGTCTTTCTTATGAGCTATCTCTTAGAGGTTGACTTTGCCCAACATTGGGGTCCTGGCTGGTTTTACTCCAGGGTAGATTCTTGGCCTTACTGCCCTGTGCTTCTGTAAAAACCATGGCGAAGACAGGGGGGGAGTGTTAGGGAACAGGCGAACACCTGGAATTTCTAGCATTTCTCTTCTTGGATGATAACTGTTGAATTTCTTAAATCTTTAAGAACCTTCTATTGTTGAGAGATTAAAAGAAAAACAAACAAAAAGGGTTAAAAAAATAACTTTCTATAAGAATTCACGGTAGGTAAGAAAATAATCCTAAACAGGGCTGCTCTGATAGTATAAGACTTCAAAAAGCCAAATTCTACAAGTTTAAGAGAGAGCGGGGCAAAATTTTCTGTGAACTGGAGGGAAAGGCAACTTCCTGAGGGGAGTGATGTCCAGCAATCTCTCTGAGTTTCATGGAGTAGTCCCATAAATATAAAGCACTTCCCAGCACAGAAAGCCTTTTACAGAAAAGTTTCTTGTAGAATAGATGAAATTGAGATTCCTTTCTCTTCGCTTAGAATAGGCTGTTGCCCACATTGGGTGGCAGTGTCTTAAGGCCTCTCATGCTCGTCTTTCTGTTGCTGGTAGGAACCTGACTACACCCCCAAAGCAGGTTTTATCCCCTGCCAACATCGTTGCTTTCTCTTAACTTTCTTAACCGTTGAGATATATTTCATATCAAAGTAAAATAACAGCCTGAATACAAAGTAAGTCATGGGCTTACATGTTAGCTGCTTCTTATTTTCTCTGTTCTCTCTTAATTTTTTTAAACCCAGGTTTTTTTTTATTATTTTTTTTTAACCCTATTAACCCTCGCTGTGTTTGTGTTTAGTTAATAGTGCCAAGAGTAATCTATTTTAAACCTTTGTCTGCCCCTTTAGGCACCAGATTTCTATGTGCAGATGAAATGGGAGTTCACCAGCTGGGGTGAGTGGCTGTGGGCTTATAGTTTGTTTCTCTTTCTAAATTTACTTAGCCTGAGTGTAAGTTTATTTTTCCTTTATAAAAGTTACATGTATTTTTTTTTTAACCTAAGAAATGCATAGAGAAGAATAAGGAAAGATAGTCACCTATAGTTCCCATTTAAACTCAACTACTGTTAATGCTTTCGGTGTTTTTTCCCTAGTCTTTACCTCCCACGCACAGGACTTTTTCCCCTAGGCATCTAAATATAGTATATGGGCAGTTTTGTTTTCTCCTTTCATTGCTTATAGATGACATCCGTATTATTAGTTTTTAAAATGTCACTTTAAATTGCTAAAATTTTATTTAGTAGATTTACTGTAATTTACTCACTTCCTTATGTGGTTTAACTTAATTCTTTTAAAATTGTTTCTAAAGGAGAAGAGGTGAATATTGGAATAACTCGGTTGGTTTTTTTTTTTTACAAAATGGATGTCTTTCTACAAAGTATTATGTAAGGCAATTGACTAACAGTGTGTTTTCATAGATCTTCTACTTTTATTTCTTGTAGATCAGTTAATCCCTAACTCCCGGGGTTTCAGCCATGTCTATTTCCAGACTTCCCTTTCGGGCAAGTCATATTTGTAAGGAAACATTTAAATGAAGTAAAAAGTATATAAAAGAAGAGAACTTCAGGTTGTTCCGAGGAACTAAGGAGTTCTTTTCTAATGCAAATAATCGCTCTAACTTTAGGTTTTAAGAAGTGGCATCATTTTAGACACTTGCCATCCCGCGTGGCAGATGTGACAATATGGTAGGCCAGAGCCATATGGCAACGGCAGCACATGTGAAGGAGAAAGGCCAGATGGACGTGCTCTCTAGCTCTGGCCTGGGTTGAGAAGTGGGGTTCATTTTGGGATTGAGAATACTCCTGGGAAATTTCTTGTAGAGTTTACTCTGACAAATGGAATAAGCATGACTTCCCGTATGATAAATGCGGCACCAGGGAGTCCAGTTCTATTACCATTTGGCACTCATCATCTTGCCACTCCCCTCCTTTTACTGAAATCAGCATCTTGATTTCTGGGCCAGGTGTTACGCGTGGCCCTTGGGTTTTCTCAGTAGTTTGCTTCTCTTCTCCAGTGCCCTTGGTTTCCAGAATATGCCCGAATGACGTCTGTCGCATTTGGAAAAGCGGTGCCAAACTGCGCGTCGATATCACCTTGCTGGGATTTGAAAACATGAGCTGGATAAGAGGGAGGCGTAGTTTTATATTTAAGGGAGAAGGTGAGTGATTCTGTTCTAGTAATCACTGCTCAAGCTAAACTACAGGGTGATTTCTAACCCAGGTTCATGTGCCTTTTCTGTCTGATCCTTTCTGGGGCATGTTTTTTTTTCCTTGGTTATTCTTATTAATTATTCAGCTCTGGCTGGTCCTCCTACATGCGTCCTTTACTGCTCAGCACTATTACCCTTGTGGCATGTGACTTTCCTTACCCTTTGAGCACAAGCATTCTGCCGTGTCTTTGTGTATCCCCGCCATCATCAGGCGTGGCCCTCCTAATGGAGGGTGAGAAATGCATTGCCCACCCAGTGCTGTGCATGCACAATTTATATTGATTATGTACTAATATATTGCATAAAGGACATAGATGAAATGTGTTGCTAGTAAAGAATGCAAATTATCAGACATTTTGCATCTTTGGGGAAGATGGCTCAGAGCCTCCTGTGAATTGTGGAAAGCTGGCCCCATAATCTCTGTACAGGTGGGTAGTCGGTAATCAATACACTTTAGCATTTGTCACGTAGCACCTGGGAGGAAAAATGTGACATGATGCATTTTCACATATGAGCCTTCCTTGTTTTGTGCTTAGTTATGCCCTCATTTTCCATAACAGACAACTGGGCAGAGTTGATGGAAGTCAACCACGATGACAAAGTGGTGACCACTGAACACTTTGACCTTTCCCAAGAAATGGAGCGCCTCAGTCTGGACTTGATGAAGCCAAAAAGCAGGGAAGTTGAGCGGCGGCTCACAAGCCCAGTCATTAACACCAGCCTCGATACTAAAAATATTGCCTTTGAAAGGTACGAATGTAGACTCTGAATTTTAATGTCTAATCCCTGTGCTGCCATCTTTAGGGACATGTATTGTATTAATTAGAATTACAGATGGATCAGGATTTTTTTAGTATGACATAACAAACACTCATGGGTTTCAAAATTGATGTCTACTCTTAACCAAATAGAAACTGTAGCTGTCATTCTATAACATTGTCTGTCATTTTTATAGCACATTGGTTAAATCTTGGAGAAATGTCTTCATGTTCTTTTATGGGCCTTCTCTGGTGGGTTTTTCTTGAATCTTATTTTTGTCTTGCTATTTGTGGACCCATAACCCTCCCTAGTCCCAAACCATGGAGCTTTGCATTTCTGGAAGCTGGAATTGACCCAGTATTGAATGTACTGAATAGTCAAAGTCAAACTCACTACATAGTTAAATGTTCTTTTTGCTAACTGTGAGACTTACTAGCTTAGAGCAAGAGTCTGGAGGGGGTTTGGTTCTGTTCCAGACTCTACGAGAATCATTCTCTAGAGAGGTCTGTGCCTTCTTGGTTGATCCAGATGGGAACACAGACACTGGTCGTCATCTTCTGGGTCACGCAGAGGACGTGGAGGGCCTTCGAGTGGAAGGAAGTGGAGGCTGTCAAAGCTGTTTGTCTGAGTGTTTCTACTGTGGGACACGCTGACACAAGAGCCCTTCTAGTGTTTGCCTAGGGTGTCACATCCAGCCCTCCATAAACCAGAGTGGCCTAACCTGAGCCCAAATGGGCACTATTATCCTAGATTTAGGCTTTCTGTTCTCTCAGTGAATACACTAACTGTCCTCTCATTTTATTTTTCTTTTCTGCTTTGTTTCCAATATAAAATTGGTTAATAAAACTGAAAGATTTCTGTTTAGTCGAGCATAACGCTTGTTGAGTGCCCTGTTCTAGTTTAGACAGAGCGTGTCTGTTCGTAGCAGAAGGGCAAACCCCCGAATGTCCAGCCTGCGTGGTGTCCAGGTGCCGCTACTGCCTCTGCAGGAGCATCGCACGCCCGCGGGCAGGGTCGGTCCTTTTTGCCAGTCTCTGTGGTCTTCCGGGGTTAGCAAAGCTTAGGGACTGGCTGGCTTTACCTGGGAGGGTCTTGGAGGCTTCAGCCTCTGAGGACAGTGAGGGCACCTTGAGCTTAGGCCTCTGATCGTGAGGCCGGAAGATAGAGGAGGTTGCCCTCCCTGCCACTGCCTATTGGTAGAGGTGAGAGTTGGAACAACTGAACGCCATCAGCAGGGCTAGTAAAAAGCTGTGCAACTTTGGGCAAGTGGCCTAACCTCTCTGGTTTTCTGTTTCCTTAGCTGAAAGAAAAAAAAGAAGTGAACCTGGAGCTGAAGTCTCTGAAGCCTATGGCTCTATGATGTCTTAAGAAGAGACAGTTCCCCATTTAGTTCAATAGCAGAGTTACTAGAGTCATTGTTTGTCATTAAGTATAATTTATGAAGAGAATGCTGCACCACTGAGCATAGATGGGAAAAGACAGCACATTCCATTTGTGCTGAGGACTAGAGCATATTTTGTATTGGTATGATCACAAGGTTTTCCAGCTGTTGGAGCTAATTCTCCTTTTGCAACTGACAGTGTGTTGCTGAGAGAGAATTTCTGGAAGACAGCTGCTTTTTTTTTCTGGTGCTCAGAACTCAGTGTGTGCTAAGTGAGCTTGTGCATCGAGAGAGGATTGGAGCCACTCTTGAGGATGAGGTTTGCTAGCACAAAAAGTGAGCATGTGTATTTCTAACCAGAGGTGTGGGTGTCCATTTGTTTGAATTTGGAAGGTGTGGCGATCTTGTTTTAGGATAGTCACTTTTGTCCATCCCTTCTAATCTGTTACTTGGAGCTTGATTAATACCCTCCCTCGATGACTTTTTGGCCTACAACATATACTCTCTGGTTGCAGTTTGGATTTCTCTCTTGGAAAAATTATGCTCTGCCCATCTCAAATAGAACATTCCCTGCCACCTTCAGAGCCTTTCTCCAAATTACATAGCAGCCACCAAGACGCAGTGCCTGCTAAGTGGCCTTTGGTGTGGTGGTCGCAGTGGAGACAGGCAGAGGTAAAAATGGCACGAGACAGGGAGGTGGGTGTTCTGTCACCTCCAGATGCTTCTGCATGCAGAGTTAGTCAAGAGCCAAGGAGTCCTTAGGATCCTGGTTTGAAAACAGGGCACAGACACTGAGTTTAACAGCTAAAGTGCTGTCAGCGAGTGGAAGTGCAAAGGGGAGTAGAAGGCAGGATTGCCCACAGAGCAGAGGCAGCCGAGTGACGTGGGCGCTGGGGAGAAAGCCCAGCTCCGTCTCAGCCAGCGTGAAGAGTGAGGGGGAACCCACGCAGCCCTCCTGTAGTCCCTCATTAGACCCTGGCAGAAAACAATGATTTCCTGTGCCCAAATACCAAGTGACTTAAGCAAACAAGGACTAAAGATTTGAATGAAAAGGAATATCTTAATTTTCAAGCACTGATGACTGACAGGAGACTGGTTTATTAATCCATTGAGTGTGGTCCCCGGCCCCCGTGGCTGCTATGTTTGTCTCTGAAGTGTACGTTGGAGACAGCTAGCATTGGATGCAATCTCTTTAGGATTCCTCTATTTCATTCCATGGGGCATGCTGCACACATGGTAGACACGTGGTAGGAAAATAGAAAGCCCTTCTTTTCCAAGGAGCTAAAATCCATATATAAACTCATTATGCCCCATCTGGACTAATTTCATTTACCAAATCCCATTAGAAGAAAAACAAACTGAATAACCACATATGTGCTTTGTGACACGGCTAACCCGCCACCACTCCCTGAGCTTCCTTCATGACCTCCCGCTTCATTCAGGGGTCAGAGCAGAAGGCAGGCTGTTGCCCTGCTCAGGGCCAAGTGGAGCTAGGATGTGATGTCCTAGACAAAGGGCAGGGCTGGGCAGGGGTCCCCTAGGAGAGGTAGTGTTTCCCAGGCAAGCTGCTTTGAAAAAGGATCAGAGCCTCTTGACTGCTTTTGGTTCTTAAGTACATTTTTTTAGGAGTATGTTGAGTTGCATAACCGGGTTTGGGGGGCACATTCCCAGTGCTGCAGCTGCTGCTGGGACGCTGGGCTACTCTCAGAGCAGTTCCACCAAGCTGGACTCAGCAGCCTGGCTGAAAAACTGCATCTCACATCCTTTCTCCCTGCTGCACCAACCCCGACAAAACATGCGCCCCACAAGCCGTTGCACAGGCATTCTCCAAGCAGCTCGCCAGAGTGACGAGTTCCTGGACCACCTGCTCTCTTCTGAGAAGTGGGATGGTCCGGCCTCATTGTTCTAAGAATTCCTTGATTGAGATGCAGCTGCTTATGGGGACAGCGCCACTGACGTCTGTGCCCGCAGATGAGATGACCCAGATACATGCTCTGACCCAGATACCACCTTGTGGCGATCCCTCGGACACTGGTCATCTGCACTCACTTCTTTAGGACAGCTGTCTAACAAATGTCACCACCTCTGTCCTCTATGCTGGCTGTTTTTGTCAAGAAGCCAAGAAGGGAGGCTTTCTATGCCCAGGGTGAGGCCAATTGATTAAGAACTGTGGGAGGGGGGCGGGGGATGTTTGAGCCATCTGTCATGGATAGCATCCTTTTGTGGACAACAGGACCATGGTCTCCAAGAGTCCTTCACTAACTTAAGCTGGGGGAAGGAAACTAAAGGCTGCAGGGATGAATCTCAATGGCATATTGTACATGTAGAAATTTGTGGTGTTCACTTTTTATCAGAACTAAATCCGGATTCTGGGGCTGGAGGACAGATAAAGCAGAAGTTGTTAATGGTTACGAAGCAAAGGTAAAAGGAAACTCTTAAAATAAGATTTAATATAGCTATTTAGCTTCTATGCAAACGAGGAGTCTGTTCTGATTTTTTCATGCACCCGTGCCATGAAGATGCCCTGGGGAATCAGTACTGTCTATGTGTCTCTCACTTGGACTTTTTAGTTTATCTTATTTGACTTTGAGAAAATAGGATAGCATGTCCCAACGAGGTCCCTAGCTATGCCAAAGAAAAACGGTATAGAGAAATGAGGATGGGTACATGTTGTGCCAGTAGGAATGACTTTAAAAAAAAAATGAAAAAAAGAGAAAGGATTAGACTTAACATGTTTGTTCAAATATTATACAGTAGCTTTTGAGTCTCCATTTTTTTTTTCAGTCAGGCTAATTGTAGCCAGTAGGCTCCTAGCCCATTTACATGACATCAACAAATTTAAAATAGTTGGTATTAATAATAGTGGAGACGATCGTCTATTCAGTCTTCTGGCATTTTGTCAGCTGGAAAAGCTCTGTTAATGTGGCCTTGCCTTGGTCCTGCAGTGCTGCAGGGATTGATGGCTTTGCTGTGATGGAGCCAGGTGCTGCAGGGTCCCCTGGTGGCCTCTGAGTGAGCAGAGACAGCTTTTACGCCACGCTCAGCAAGATGCATTTAGAAACAGTCGTTCTAGTGCTGAGTGTGTTTTCCCCAGCTTTGAAGGTTGGGAATCCACTTACGGCATCTGCAGTTAACTCTCTGTTAACTGTTATTTGATCTTCCAGACCGCCGTATTCTGCAGTCAGCCTCCATAAAGAGCATTTACTCTGGTAGTTACATAATTTTGGGTCAATGCATGCCATCCCTTTGAAATAGTGACTGGCTGTTTTTCTCTAAATCTCATAGGTCTAGGGAACCTCGTGTTCATTCCTTTTTCCCTCTGCCCAGCAGATGGCCGTCTAAGTCAATGCCATTATAAGATTACCACAAATCAGTAGAAGGACGTGATACAGGTCTGGGTCAGTGCAATAGAAGTCCAGGTGGGAAACGTACATTGCAGAACATTTGTTTGCTATTTTTTTGCCACAAGCAGGGCCAGTAGGGAGATGCAGCCTGTCACTGCTAACTCCTCAGTAGTAAAACTGTCAAATATGGAAAGTAACTGTTGATGATGCATTTCTAAGTTGATATTTTGTATATTTTTCTCTGAAGGATCCTAATGATCATTAACCATTTCTCATTTTTATGTTGCTGGATTTTTTATTTTTTTATTTTTTTGCTTCAGCATTCTTGCTCTTGCTATGCGTATTTTCTGAGTTTTGATTCCCTGTGTCACCATTTTCTTTTGCACACATCTCTCAAGGTTTACACAGTAAACAATGTGAGTGTGATAACCAGAATACGCACGGAACACCTGACCGAGGAGGAGAAAAAGAGATATAAAGGTAATTACTGTCACCTTCCCCCTTCCTTTTTTTTTTTTTTTTTTTTTTAGTGAGCCCAAAGAGAGCCTTTGTTGGCTCAGTTAAGTCTGGAGTTAATGCAATTGAGATATGCTAATCCTAACTTCTTTTTTACAAAAATTTCCTTAGTCTGACTCATTCTTGGAGCTGTTCCCCCATAGTTGGCTTCAGCAATAATTAAAGCCATTCGTGAGGGCTTATTTATGTTTTATATGTTAATGAAGAACAATTGTTGGATTGGCCGAAAAAATCGATAAGAATATTGGAGAATATTTATCATTGAGGTGAGGCATTTAATCCAAACTATCACGATCAAAGATTTGGAGACAGAACTTGGGCTCTGAGCCAAAGCATTGCCAATATGTGGTTGCCATGTCCCAGGCCGGCTAGCTCCGTGGCCTCCTGAAGTTACCTACCCTCTGTGCCTCAGTTTCCACAGCAGTGAAAAGGAGGTGATACAGGACCTTCCGTAGAGTTATCGAGAGAGTTAGGTGATTACGACATGGGAATCTGCAGAATGGTTCTTGCGGTATCGGTGAGCATGCGTTAATTGTTCACCATCATCACGCTGCTGTCACTGCAGTTTGACAGAACACCTGGGTCGTGCCTGGCCAGGGTGGGACTGGCACCCATATCTGGTTCATTCCTAAGACCAAACTCTTTCCACTGTTCTGCTTTAATTCTTGTAACTGTTCATCCAGTTTAGAGATCCTCACAAAAAGCATAGTAGATAAAGGGCAAATCACCTTAGGGTTATTGCAGATGATTTTATCAGCCGGTCTATAAATGGATTCCCCAATGCTGCAGGCAGTGTGGATCAGAAACTTTAAAATACGATCAAGATTTTTTTTTATAGCCCCAAGAAAGATACAATAATAGACATGAAACTTTTCCATCCTCTGTAGCGGACAGGAACCCACTGGAGTCTTTGCTGGGGACTGTGGAACACCAGTTTGGTGCTCAAGGGGTAAGTTGAAGCAGTGAGCTTTCAGTGCAGTTTAATGACAGGAAATGACTTCTCTGTGCTTGGGATGGCCATTCCTGGCTCCAGAGCAGGCCACTCTCTGTGAAAAGGTTAAAGAGTGTTCTCAAGCTGGAATTGAGGATTTTGGAAGAGAATTAAATGAGTGAGGGGTAGTGATGCTAGAAATCAGGTGCTTTCTCTCTTCTCTGTTATAAACGAAGGACCTCTCTGTAAAAATGGAACTTAAAAAGGATTTATCACTTTAACAGAGCACCTTAGCAAACATTTTCTTTCTTGATCCTCACAATAACTATATAAAATTGATACAATGGGTGTCAGAAAAATGAAATTACCTTTTCATCATCAAAGCTAGACAATGACAGAGCCAGAACTTAAAGTTTAAGTCTTCCAAATCTCTTGTACTTTTAGATGTAGGAGATTAAAATGTGAAGGAGAGTAGAGAAATATTTTAAAGTGGAGAACTGTGTTAGACTTGCCGTGGAGTTTGGTGACACTTGTAGATTTTCTTGTTCTGTGCAGTCACTTAATAAAAATAAGTTAATGACTAGAACTTCCTGCCCTGTAGCCGGTTAGCATGTCCTCCTCTGAGACTGAGTGCGCTAGGCCTCCGCTTGTGGGCATCACTTGGCATTTCTGACTCTCCTGAGTTCTGGCTGGCAGGACCTCACCACGGAATGTGCCACTGCAAACAACCCGACAGCCATCACGCCCGATGAGTACTTCAACGAAGAGTTTGATCTGAAAGACAGGGACATCGGAAGGCCGAAAGAGCTGACAATTAGAACACAGAAGTAAGAGAGATTCAGCCGCCATTTTCAGCTCATGGATTGTTCCAGAAGTTGTGCTGTTTTGTGGTGTTATGTCTGGTCATTCCTCTGCCCCTTTTTTAAAAAAAAATAATTTTAAATTATTTTATGCCATGATAACTAACAGTAGATTGCCCGTCTTATTAGCCCCTTTCCAAATAGAATGTAGATTGGATGTAGGAATTCCTTATTTGTTATTTTGTTTTCATTTTTTTTTATTTTGGTGGTTTTTTTTTTTTAATTGTTTACTCTTTGTAAAAATTATAACTAGCGTCCATGGTCTGAAGAGGAATTCCTTATTATTATTATTATTTTTTAACTGTCAGCAAGCTTCAGCTGACCAGATGAAATGGTTCCCACTAGCTATTGATGTCGTCTTGTTTGCTGTCAATTAAGGATGTTCCAGGGGGAAGCTGTAATGCAGGTCATTTTCCCCAGTTGCCAGATTTCAGGGGAAGCTGAATTCGTTGTGCTTATAGACCCTCAATCGCTCTGAATCAAGAGATCTCTGGGAAGAGTGTGGAGTAAGCGGGCTGGTGCTGCCCAGCCTACTGCACAACAGTAATCTCCTTTTCCCACCTGGTAGAGATGGCCTCAGTCTTCTCTCGGTTGAATCCTGCAGGTTTAAAGCAACGCTATGGATGTGTGAAGAGTTTCCCCTCTCTCTCGTGGAACAGGTCATTCCCATCATTGACCTAATGGCTCGAACTAGTGCTCATTTTGCAAGATTGCGAGACTTCATCAAATTAGAATTCCCACCTGGATTTCCTGTTAAAATAGGTACTGTTAAATAAAGCTCAGGGACACTCGTAGGTTCTGCCTGTTTTTGTGGGTGGAAGAACATGCTTCTAAGAACTGGAGCACTTTAAGCACAAAGTATTGATATCATATAATAGACATAATAGAGGTGGTCAGAATTATCCTGTGGTTTAATCTGATTTAAAGAAATGTGATGATTCTTGGCTTATTTTGCATATCAAAATTAGGAGATCTCTAACCATCAGTTCTATTTACAGATGGTACTAACAGATATAAAAAGGCATAAAAATATGACACAGTCATTGTTTTAGTGTCAAGCCTTAAGTAAAACTTCAAATTAGATAATTTTAGACAGACTGAAATGTGCTCTGAAAAAAAAAAAGAAAAAAAAAAAGAAAAAAAAAGAAACAAATTAGATAATTTTTTGAGGAAGACAATTGACACCAAGATCCTTTGATGCATAAATATTAATACGTTTTAGGACCCAAACTAGTATGCATAATGCTATATGTAATATATATTACTCATGAGGAATTTTAATTTTGGATGGTTGTATATTGATGACACTTGAATGCTACCCTGGCTTGATCACTTACTGAGATCTAGGAGAAAATGCTTAAGACTCTGAGTCTCAGTTTTCCCATCTGTATATTGGGAAGGCTCATTAGGATTAAATGAAATTATATTTATAAAAAGTGCTTGGCACAGTACTAGCATGGTAGGCACTCAGTAAATAAATGATAACTATTTGATTATTATTCTCATAAAGTTTATTCATAAGAGCTTTTATTTTGTTAGAAATTCCCTTGTTTCATGTCTTAAATGCACGGATTACATTTGGAAATGTTAATGGCTGTAGCACTGCCGAAGAAACTGTATCTCAAAATGTGGAAGGGACCCAGGCTGATTCAGGTAAAAAAAAAATTGTTTTGTGATTTTTGTTTTTTTTAATTCATCTAGTCATTATACTATTCAGCTTGAAATTGGAGTATCGTATGAAATAGCTCTCTGTGCTGGATGGATGAAAGGAAATTTTAGATTAAGTAAAAAACAACTTGTAGAATATGTGTGATCCCACTTGTATTAAAAAGACAACATGGGCCGGGCGCTGTGGCTCACGCCTGTAATCCTAGCTCTTGGGAGGCCGAGGCGGGCGGATTGCTCAAGGTCAGGAGTTCAAAACCAGCCTGAGCAAGAGCGAGACCCCGTCTCTACTATAAATAGAAAGAAATTAATTGGCCAACTGATATATATATGTAAAAAATTAGCCGGGCATGGTGGCGCATGCCTGTAGTCCCAGCTACTCGGGAGGCTGAGGCAGAAGGATCGCTCAAGCCCAGGAGTTTGAGGTTGCTGTGAGCGAGGCTGACGCCACGGCACTCACTCTAGCCTGGACAACAAAGCGAGACTCTGTCTCAAAAAAAAAAAAAAAAAAAAAAGACAACATGTTCTTAAAAATCAGCTTTATTAGCCGGGTGCGGTGGCTCACGCCTGTAATCCTAGCACTCTGGGATGCTGAGGCGGGTGGATTGCTCGAGGTCAGGAGTTCGAAACCAGCCTGAGCAAGAGCAAGACCCCGTCTCTACTATAAAGAGAAAGAAATTAATTGGCCAACTAATATATATAGAAAAAATTAGCCGGGCATGGTGGCGCATGCCTATAGTCCCAGCTACTCAGGAGGCTGAGGCAGAAGGATTGCTTGAGCCCAGGAGTTTGAGATTGCTGTGAGCTAGGCTGATGCCACAGCACTCACTCTAGCCTGGTCAACAAGCGAGACTCTGTTTAAAAAAAAAAAAAAAAATCAACTTTATTGAGGTACAAGAGACACACAATAAAATGCTCCCATTTTAAGTGTGACAGTTCCATCCATGTATTTGACATTTTGACAAGATGCAGTTCCAGGCATCTTGTAACCACCACCGCAATCAAGATGGGGAGCATTTCTGCATGCCCCCAAATTTCTTCATGCTCCTTTGCATCAATCCAATTCATATTTTTAGATGCTATTATAAATTGATTTATTATTTTTATTTTCCATTTAATAGAATATGGAAATATAATTGATTTTTATATTTTGACCTTGTATCTTGTAACATTACTGAATTTCATTTGACTTCTGGTAGCTTTTTTGTAGATTCCTTAGAATTTCGTACACACATAGTCATGTCTGTGAATAAAGACAATCTTACTTTTTCCTTTACAATACTTAAGTCTTTTATTTCTTTGTCTTGCCTTATTACACTGCCTAGGATGTCCAGTACAATGTTGACTAAAGGTGGTAAGAATGGACATCCTTGCAGTTGTTCGTGATCTTAGGGGAGAAGTGGCTGTTTTGTCATTAGCTACGATGTCAGCTGTTAGTTTTTTGTAGATGCCCTTTATTAGGTGGAAGAAATTCTTCCTTTACATTCCTAGTTTCCTAAGAATTTTTACCATTATTGAGTATCGATTTTTGTCAAATGTTTTTCTGCAACTATTGAGATGGTCTTATGGTTTTTCTCCTAAGTCTACCAGTATTTAGAGGAATTAAAAGATAGCATCTTAATTTCTATAAATTAAAACTTCAAATAAAAACAAATTAACTCAACAATAATATATAATTTTACATTCCCATGTAGCAATAAAGTTGGGTAATGTGTGCTCGTGAGGTTGTGCAGCAAAGAAATTACTTGTCCATTCTTGGCAGGAAGAGTAAATTGGTATAATTCATTGAAAAAAACATTTTGGCATTACTTAGTATGTTGAAGATATGTACTATGACTTAGCATCTCCTAGATGTGTACCCTCAAGAAACTTGTGCACGTGGGCATCTGGAGACCGCAATAATGGACAGTAACATTCGTAATAGCAAAAATCTGGAGTCCTGAGACTGTAGAATTTGCCAAGTGTGCTATATTAATAAGTACAATGGAAGAACATACAGTGATGAAAATAAAATAAAAATTTAAAGCCATGTGCATCAAAACTGGTTAATTTCAAAACCTAAAGCATATAATTCAGAATAGTGGTATATTCTGGGCATATAATTCAGAACTCTTGAGGGAGAATCACAACAGAAAAAGGGCTACTTCTGGAGTTTGGAAATAGTAGAATGGGCATAGGGAGAGAAATCTTCACTTTTCATTTCACAGTCTATGACTGTGCATTATTTTTTTCTGTTGTGATTCTACCTCAAGAGTTCTCACATAATCACAAACTTCATTATTATCCTTTTGGTCCTTTCATTTTTTTTTTTAATTTAAAAAATTTTGCAAAACATTGGAGTAGAAATTCATTGTAATTAACTCAAAGACAGTGGATGGTTGCCTTCTGTGTTTCAGCTTCCCAAGTGACAGACTTTGAGGTCGATCAGTCTGTGTTTGAAATTCCCGAATCTTACCACATTCAAGACAACGGCAGAAATGTGCATTTGCAAGATGAAGATTACGAGATAATGCAGTTTGCCATCCAGCAGAGCCTGCTGGAGTCCAGCAGGGGCCAGGTGCGTTTCTCAGAATAAATGGGAGGGCTTGGGAGGGCTCTGAGTTGGCTAACCTAGAAGATTTACTTTAAATAACTAGTTTGGCACATTCATGGTATTTAATTAGATTATTTTAATTTTTAAAAAAATAATTTTTAGGCCGGGCGCCGTGGCTCACGCCTGTAATCCTAGCTCTCTGGGAGGCCGAGGCGGGCGGATTGCTCAAGGTCAGGAGTTCGAAACTAGCCTGAGCAAGAGCGAGACCCCGTCTCTACTATAAATAGAAAGAAATTAATTGGCCAACTAATATATATAGAAAAAATTAGCCGGGCATGGTGGCGCATGCCTGTAGTCCCAGCTACTTGGGAGGCTGAGGCAGAAGGATTGCTTGAGCCAGGAGTTTGAGGTTGCTGTGAGCTAGGCTGACGCCATGGCACTCACTCTAGCCTGGACAACAAAGCAAGACTCTGTCTCAAAATAAATAAATAAATAATAAATAATAATTTTTATAATTTTTGTGAGGAGGGGTATTCAGTTGCCTTTGTTGTTGTTGTTGTTGAGACAGAGTCTCACTCTGTTGCCCTGAGTAGAATGCAGTGGCATCATCATAGCTCACTGCAGCCTCTAACTCCTGGGCTCTAAGCGATCCTCCTGCCTCAGCCTCTGGGGTAGCTAGGATTACAGGTGCACACCGCAGTGCCTGGCTAGGTTTTTTTTTGTTTGTTTCTTTTTTATTTCTTTTTGGTAAAGACAGGGGTCTCACTCTCACTGAGGCTGGTCTCAAACTCCTGAGCTCAAGCTCAAGTTATCCTCCCGCCTCAGCCTCCCAGAGTACTAGGATTACAGGCATGAGCCACCATGCCCAGCCACTTAGATTATTTTATATTTTATGCACCCGGTGTCTTTACAAAAGCTCGTTATGTAAGAGACCATCTGCATAACCCCAGGCAGCAAAGTCACAAGATGTCTTCAGATAGACTTTGCTTTTACTCATATTCACCCATGTAGCTCACAATTGTGTATTTTTCAAGATGTGCTTTATAATTTTCTAGTACTGAGGCAGTAAATTCATGCTAATTCACACTACCATATTTTTTTCTGGAAGATTATCCATTGTTGGTAGCCTCAGATGAAGGTAGTGATATGGATTTTAATCCCAACTCCTTCCCCAGGGAGTATCATCTCCTTAAACTCTCTGACTCTCTAGTGAAATGCAGAGCTAAGGACAGAACAGACCTATGTAAGAAGAGTTGCCTTTTTTTTTTTTTTTTTTTTTTTGAGATGGGGTCTCACTATGTTGCCCAGGATGGGCAGGGGCATGATCATAGTTCACTGCAGCCTTCAACTCCTGGGCTCAAGTGATCCTCCCACTTCAGCTGCCTTAGTAGCTGGGACTACAAGTGTGTACCACCACACCCAGCAGAACAGTCACCTTTTATATGGTTCTCCCTCCAGGCCACACCTGCCTGGGAAAATCAGAGGCTTGAGGTCCTCTTCTGCTGGTATCAACTGTGTCTGTCCCCTCCCTCCTATGGCTCCTGGCTCTCCTAGGGTGGGGTCTTGCAGTCTGTTTATTTGTTTGTTGGTTTCTTCTATCATTCGTTCAGCAGCTATTTGCCAGGCACTGGGAATTCTTTGCCAAAGCAGCCCCCAGCCCTGCTCTTCCTGGGCTGCTAAGCTCTGAGAACAGTACCCACACTCTAGCATCCCCTCTGGCTCAGGCTTCTGGCTTTCTGGTTTTATCCTTGAGTCTCAGAGCTTAGGGATGTCAGTCCCCCTCCTTTACTCCTCCCCCTGCCACCACCATAGACACCCTCCCAGACCCATTCCGTTTTCTGAGGCTGCTGGGCCCAGGGCCAAACCCTGGAGCAGGCAGATTCCCTTTGGGAGGCCTTCTGGGAGAAGCCCCCGCCCCAAACAGCACTGCCAGCTCAGCGAGCTTTTCTTTTCCCTTCGAAAGTGACCTTAACTTTCCCCCTCGGCATCTACATAAACCCTGGGGACCATAAGCTTTGATGGGGGAAGGAGCCAAAGTCAAAAACTACTGATACTGAATTGTCTTCTAATCTTACCCTGAAAGAATCACCTGCTTTGGTCATTTAAACTTTGCACAAGGTGAGCTGTTTGTAATACACTGATTTTGTGGAACGTAAGAGGAGATCGTGGCTGTGAGTCAGGCTGTGGCATATAGTATCTGACATGTAGGTGTCATTTTCGAGGTAATCCAAGTCCCTATTGGTTCATTACACAGCATTATCAATGATTGGCATGTAAATATTTTTAATTTTGTCCCTGTGGCTTTTGTTTCCTTATTTACTAATAAGCCACCTATTTCTTCTAAGAGGCATTCACGTCTTGTCATGTTTGTTTTGCCAGGAACTTCTAGGACCAGCTTCGAATGGCGGGATCAGCCAGACACACGCCTATGATGACCAGTACGAGAGGTGACTGACGTGACTTTGATTAAATCGAGGTTGACACAGGCTCTCAGTACAGGGGCACGTGCATGGCGCTGTGCGTTCGATCCCCAGGCAGATAGATGCAGGGCGGTGTGTGCTTGTCAGGGGAGAGAGGAGAGACTAGATAGAGCGTCGGCTCTCCTGCTTCCTCTTGCAGCAGCTACTCAGGAAAGGAGCTCTGAACTCTCCGCAGCCAGTTTCCGGGAACGAGTGACAGACTGCTCATTAGTTCACAGGGTCATTGTCACTGGCAGAAAAGCACCAAGTCAATGTTTCCTGATTGGTTTGATCCTCTGTGAAGAAGAGATGATCACAGGGTCTGAACGCCCTCAGTGGGAAGTTCATACAATTTTAAAGATGGGGAAGTTTGGAGAAAAGCCGTGATGATTAGATTATCTTGGGGGGGGGGCTGCAAAGATTCATTTTACAAAGCATTGTTTTGTTTTTAATACTTTAGGCACCTATGAGAGCCTGGGTTTTGCTTGAAAATAGATCAAAGTTCAATTCCCAGCCCTGGCACTTAGTAGCTGGGTGATCTTGGCTGGGCTTAACTCCTCTGAGCCTCCTTTGGTTTCTCACCTGTGTACAGCACCCACGCCCCCAGAGCCACGTGGGGTTAAATGGCATCATGCATCTGAAGTCTCTGGCACACTGTGCACTTGCTAAGCAGTTAAGGAATGTAGTTGCTGCTGCTGCCATGATGACAGTAATGGCTGTCTTGGTTTTCTTTCCTGTTTTCCAACCCAGGGCCATCCAGGAGAGCCTCCTCACCAGCACTGAAGGCTCGTGCACTGGTGCCCCAAGTGACACGAGCAGTTTTGATAGCGACTTGCAGCTGGCCATGGAGCTGTCTGCCAAAGAGCTGGAGGAACGTGAGCTCCGGCTCCAGGAGGAGGAGGCCGAGCTCCAGCAAGTCTTACAGCTGTCACTCACTGAGAAATAGACCTCTCTGCACAAAGCAGAGGCTCTGGGCTGCCACGGACGCTGTGTCAACCAGGCTGAGGGCCTGCACCCCGTGTGTGCAGCAGATGGCAGCTGCCCCTTCCTTATGCAGGTGCAGAACCAGGGGCTCCTTGGCTCATCCAGAATGTTCCCTGGGGTGGAGAAGGGGCTGGGGATCGGCAGGCCCTGTCTCCAGGCTACGGAGAGGAGAGCATGGTCACTTTCCATTAGCTGTATTGGCTTGCAGGTCACATTTTTACTACCAGCTTTAGACAAAACCCCAATCCCTGCAGGTTTGTAGATAGATTTTTATTAAGGAGTGATAGCAAAACAAGTTATTGCAGAGTCAGGGTGCTTTTATATATGAGAGCAGCGGCGGCGGCAGCAGCCTTTGTAGAGTGGGGTTTATGAGAATTTGAGACACTTCTTTACTGTTCACCAAAGAAATGGGTAATCTGTGCTGATCTACTCTTTATTTTTACCTTTATACAGGGTTTCTAGGACATTGCCATTATTCCTCCTCCATCTCCATCTTATTCCATCCTCCCACCCCCAGCTACAGTTAAAGAGGAGATATGTACAGGATCTATTTTAGATTGTGGTTAACTATTTGCATCAAATTAAGATATACAAATGACCATGGCTGTTGCCTTAGCCTTAAATGTTACTAATAGTTTAAACCGCCTCACTCCACTTATTGAGGGATCTGATTTGAATTTATAAAGGCAATTCCTTTTGAGAGCAGGATCCTCCAGGCTAAATCAAAGGCAGCTAATCCTGTCCCTGAAGGAGCAGCTAGCAGAACCTGACGCTTGTTCTTGAAGCGGGCAAGCTAGCCAAAATACTGGAACAGCATAGAACCAAGCCAAGTGCGTGTTCCACGCCTGCCCTAGTGAACGATTTCCACGTAGACACCTAGAAGAACCCACTGCATGCCCTAGTCTCACCTGAGAGGAAAGATGGATTTGAAATCAGAAAGGGAGCTTAAAACAAGAGCTCAATGGCTCTTCATTCTAAAGGGAAAATGACGATTCCACGTTGCTTTTTAGAGTTCAAATCAACATCTTTCTGGATAAATATATTTTTTAACAGAATTTTTATTATTTTTAAAAGATATAAAAACAACTACTCCCATCAGTAGCAATACAAGGTTATACATTTTAACCAGATTTTTCTCAGGCCTTTTTTGGATACCTTTAGTAGTTAACTATTTTGTCAAACCCTCCTGTAAATAACCATCCCAGGACCCACAGAACTGGGGGGGAGGATACAGCCGAGGGCACCCCTCACTCTGGCCCGTGTATGCATTCCCGCAGTGCACTGAAATACCCCGGGAAACAATATCCTCCTCTGTTTTGCATCTATTTCCTCTGTTGCGCTTCTTTTTAGGATAGGAAGAGAAACATAAACTACTGTTCCAGTTAACGTCTGTTATCATACAGTTAGTGTCGCCAGTAAGACGTTCCTAGACACAAAGAACTGTGCTTTTAATTCCATATAACCATCTGCCTTTTTTTGGTCATGGTCTGACCACAGTTCCTTCTGTACACACAAGGCCAGTATAGGCAACTTCACGTTTGTTGCAAACACGTGGCTTGGCATTTTGTTTACCTGGCGTTTACGCGAAGTAAACAGTTCTTGGTAATGGCTGTGGTTAGGCCATGTCGTTTACTCACTAAGATGAACCATAGGTAATTTCTATGTTCGCATTCCATTGCTCTGCTTCCCAAGTTCTTTGACTTTCTCCCCAGGGAGTCACTTAAAAAAGGGACTGAGCATCATATCAACCTGTTGCAGCATTTTTCATGTATGTGTTCACTCTTAAAATGCAAATAAAGCCTGCTTCCTTAGAGGGTGCTCATACAATATTCCAGACAGTCTTTGAGTCTTTTTTTTTTCTCTTTCACATGTTTTTTTTTTCTAGTCACTGGATGTGATGTACCCACACTTCCTGATGTCTGTCAGTAGAACATAAGAATGCCTCACATTGCTGTTGTACATTATTACAAAGGAGGCACGGTCCTTTCAGCCTTTCTGCCCAAGTTATAGGGTCCTGAAGCCCCATGTTACTTGTTTCAAATGGAAACTAAAAGGAAGCCAGTGCTGGGGCTCCTCGGAGGCAACTGTGCGGTCCTCCTCCTGGAGGTGGACTGGCTCTTGTGGTTTAGGGAGGCCAAGCCAAATCAAATCTGAGTGAACATATCTCTCCTTTGAAGCCAAGAGTGCTTTGTGAGCGTGATCTTAGAATTTAGGGCTTCCAAACTCATTCTACACCTAATTACGTTGGTATTAAAAGTAAAAGCAGTGGCCAGTAAGTGTTTGGGTTCCAAAAATGAGGCCTTGGCACTTCCAGGAAGATGTGAAGGAGCTGCTTTGCTTTGGGGACAATAAATACCAATCCTTTGAGCCACGAAAACACCATGAAGAAAACAGTTCCTCTTAGGTCAAGAAGTGCAGTATCTATGGATTATTTAATTAAAAACCAAATAGTTTCTTTCCTTCTCTTTAGGTTCACTAACACTCAAGTGGCCCAATATCAGCAGAAACTTTAACTGGGCAACTTCTGCACATTAGACATTGCTAGCGTAACAAAGTTCCCAAGGGACTCTGCTCTAGGAACAAGCTTGTCACACAGTACATAATGTGACATGTTGAGGAAGTAGAATTGTTTGCCCTAAATAATAGCAGGAAAAGGAATTGCCCCAGGTCCCAGTCTTCTGCTGAGCACAGATGACATGAAGGAAGATGAACTGGACTATGGAAATTTCAATGACTTTGGAAGGTGATGGAGTTCAAAGTCCCACCCTCTGTCTAGAAACATGTGTGGGGTTAAGACTGAGGTCCCACTGGAAACAGTATTACATGCTAGTAACACCCCAGAGCCCCTAAGCCACAAGCAGCATGGAGAGACTTTAAAGAAAGTTTAGTGTTTGCTAATATAATTCATTTTTATCTGATAGATATAAATTGATTGGATGTGTTCTCTGGGTACAGAATTGGTATTCTGAGTAGTTTGGTTATGAGATTTAAAGTTTGGCTACCACCTCCTGTACCCGCAAAGATGAAGGCCAGGGAAAATAATTCCACTTGAAAGTACTAGTTGGCCAGTCGTTGGTGCATAAAAGTTTTCAGTGTACTCTTTCCCAGAATTGATGTTTCTATCTTTAGGCATCTCTTTGCAATAAGCCTCTTTCTACAAAGATTATTCTTTGTCTTACTTTTGCCTGAAATCTCACACAAAACATGATAAAATTGGGACGAAGGTTTTGACTGGGTTTTGGATTTACGTGTGGAATTGCATTGTTTCCCAAAATGAATATGAGCCAACTATCTGGCTCGTATTACTGAGCAAACAGCAAGGATTGTAGGCTTAGCAAGTTTTTACTGTTCCTAAAAATGACAATAAGTACTGTGGCAGCGTATCAAAACTTGGTGTTCCAGATGAGGTGGGATTGTGTGCTCCTGGGATTGAACACTGTCACCAACACCAGATGCTACAGTCATAGTAAATACAAACTTCTATGGGACAGGCCAAGTGGGCTGATTCATCTACATCTGTATTAGTTTTCACAGTACTGTATCTTCACAACAATTAACAGTTTGTACATCACCACTTTATAGATGAGAAAACTGAGGCTCTGGAGAAATTAAGCCTGTTTGTAACTGGAGCTGGGACGAGAATGCAGGTCTCTGACGCTGACCCAGCCTGAAAGTCTGATGATGGCTCAGTTTTCTGAAATAATCCTTTGCCTTGAGGCAACAGTGTTATTTCACACATGAATTTAAAATGTTACTTCACAGTGCTTCCTTAAAAGATTAGATCAGGCTAGGCACAGTTGCTCACACCAGTAATTCTAGCACTCTGGGAGGCCAAGGTGGGAGAATAGTTTGAGCTCAGGAGTTCAAGACCAGCCTGAGCAAGAGTGAGACCCCATTTCTACTAAAAATAGATAGAAAAAATTAGCCGGGCATGGTGGTGTATGCCTGTAGTCCCAGCTACTCAGGAGGATTGCTTGAGCCCAGGAGTTTGAGGTTGCTGTGAGCGAGGCTGATGCTATGGCACTCTAGCCCACACAACAGAGTGAGACTCTGTCCCCCCCCTCCAAAAAAAAAACAAAAAGAGAGATTGGATCAGATTGAAACACACACACCGGCATTTCAAACACTTGGGAAATAATTACTAGGAGTAGAACAGCGCGTAGGATTTTACTTTAATTGACATTTTGCTCAAAAGCACAGAACAGTGAACGTTTCAATGGCTCAATGTTACAACAAATTCTTAAACAGTTACAGTATACCACATCAGTTATTTCACATTAAGTGCAGGCTGTTAACAAAAATAAAGAGATTGGTGCTGTGCTTCAATGAAGCACAAGATAAACATTTCCATTAATAACAAAATTAAATCTAACACCTTAAAATAAATACTGATAACCACTTTATAAGTACAAGTATCATTTCAATAGGGGAAAAAAATCCAGTTCACTAACAGTGCAACATAATAGCAGCGTTTTCCAAGTTGAGATTCAATCTGTGAACACACACTGGCCAGCACAGTGAACATGCACTTCCTGTTGGGTAAGCCCTCCCCACCCCCGGCTGACAGGCGCTCCTGCTGAGCCGCTTCTAGATTCCAAATCTGAAAAGGTACCCAGAGTTTTAGGCTGTGGGCTGGAAAGCCTTAAGTGTCGTACAGGAGGGATCAACATGCCTGAGTGGACGGAGTTCTTTTTAAGATGGGCCAACTAGTGATATTTCCAGTCTATCCCCAGGCCAAGGTGCACGTGGTAACAGGTCTGCCACATGTGACCTGACTTCAGTGGGGGCACCTGAGCGCAGACCCAGATCCAGGTGAGGACTGCCAGCTGTGGGGACACAGCTGCTACTGCTTTGCAACCAGAACATTCTAGTCCAGCTCAGATGAAATGAAAAACATTTGTGATGTTTAACCCACTGTGACTGAATGGTTCTTAAATAGGGAATGACTACATGGTAGGTCTTCCTCTTATTAATATTTTCAAGCATTAATGATTAGTCTTTTCCAGTGTGGTTTACAGACACGGGGTTGTCATGTTTTCTTTCTCACGAGAACTCCATCTTTACATTGAACCTTGGGCTTCAGGCCTGTCTTTTAGTAAGCACAGCCAAATTAAAAAAAAGAAACACAGGCAGACTCAGTGGCCGATTATTTGCATTATAGTGTTAGGAAAAAAATAACTGCTTAGAGATGCTTTTTCTAAATCATTTACCATTTACCAATTGTCCAGACCGAAGGTCACTTCCAAGTAGGAAAGTTCTGATTCCAACTTCTCCACTGGCCCATGTGCAACACAACTTTTCCTGTGTCCAAGAACTCATGGAAGAACTTGTTTGCTTGGCTGTCACCGACGCCGAATGGGCTTGTAGACACAAAATGCCATAAGGATGACGGTCACCAGCAGGATGCTGAAAATGGTTCCCAACATCACTGCAAAGGGAAAACAGGTTACCTCCTGATGGCAGCTTCAGGTTCTGTAATTCATCCATTCACTGCCAGTGGCTTACCAAATGCCACTTTCTGCCTGGCACTGTGTTGGGTGCTGGGCAAAGAGCAGTGAACAGACCCTTTCTTGAGTTGTCCCCATGTATGTGGGGGAGAGAAATGTAAACAAAGAGCATTTCACACAGCTTGATGTGCCATGAAGAAAACAGTAACGCGCTGGGGGTGGGGTAGGGTGGGCAACAGGAGGCAGGGCAGTGGAGCAAACATCTGAGGAGCTGAGACCTCATAAGAGGAAGGATCTGGCCATGTGACCCTTTGCAGGGGGAGTGCACAGCCCAAGGATCATCAAAGGGAGGGCCTTGAGACCAGAACAAACCCGGCACACTCAATGAACAGAAAGGAGGCAAGCAGGGAAGGAAGCCAGACAGGAAGGCTAGAACCGGGTTATGCAGGGCCTTGATGACCATGAAGGAAACTTGGATTTTTTTGTAAGTTTAAAGAGAAGCCATCGGGGGTTGTAGGCAAAGAGTGACATGATCTGATTTAGTTGGGGAAAAGTTCCCTGTGGCTGCTGTGTGGAGAACCATCCAGTTACAAGGGAACAAGGATAGGAGCAGGGAGCCCAAGTACACCTTTAATAAACATTAATAAAAACTGGAGATTCAATTAGTCACTATATGAATGAGTTTTGACAAGGACTTTCTGACCAAAAGAGCAACGAACTAACTTCACAAACCTATTATGCTTTGGGGAGTAATTTCACATCTAAAATTTTCAAAGTGATTAGGTGAGAAATAGAACCTACAACTAATTTGTCAAGTTGAGCCCTGGTGGTACAAGATGATAAGGACCTTGGCTTTAAACTACGAACACAACCAGCAATTTGTTAGATTTATTCCATAGCAGCAATGATGTGCACTCTTGTTTCCGTGACTATCTTAGAGATCTTGAGAAGTACTCAAAATGATGTCACCTTGAATGAGCAAATGTACATTTATAAGTGCTTTTAAGTTCTGTGGACCCATCCCAGGTTCCAGCTGGGGCCTAACCATGGTTGTTCTCTAGTCTGATTACTATCCCTCTGAAAAAAAATGAGATATGACCATAATTTTATTTAAATCAGTAATTCTGGAGTATCTGGGACCCCCTTACCCAGTTATTTAAAAACTGACTATAGAGAAAGATCATCTTTTTTTTGGTGACTGGTGGGGGGAGGAAGGAAGGAAAAGGTGACAAAAAGTGAGTAATTTTAAGGTCTTTGTTAAACAAAATCTATGACTTACATGAGCTAAAAGTTATGTCTCAAAATAGCTCTTGTTAACTAAAATACCTGCCCTAATTTTCAAAAGTCCTGAATTCTGAGTTTCTAATGTTCTTATTACTACAATTGGACTTACGGTTGTCTGTCTTATTCCATTTAAGCCATTTTCTTGTATTTTGCATTTTGGAAGGGCTTTAAAAAAATTAAAACTCCCAAAGTAAGAATGCAAGGGACTGGAAATCTGCTTTAAAAAAATAAAAAAGAGCTTAAAACCATGAGTTGTTAGGTACATAATATCCATTTGGATCGCTATCCATCTGGGGCTTGATGGATTCTCACACTCAGTCTTTTTACCCCTTCATGTCCTTTGCATGTAGTGTCAGCTGCCTGAATGGCAGGCCCAGACAGGACCTTAAAAGACTATTTCAGTCTATCCTGATAGTCACTTCCCATCATTAAGCCTTATTTTCTGCATCCATAAAATGGGACAAATGAAATCCACCTAACAAGGCCTAAATATGTTTACCTTCAGAAGTGCTCAACACAGTAACAAGCACATGATAAATGAGAGCCATTATTACGACCAAGACAAGCAGCACAGCACAGAAGTCAAGAATTTAGGGTTTGGGGTTAGACCCTTGGGGCTCCTACATATATTTACAGGCTATGTGACCTCACTTAAGTCACCCAACCTCTCTGTGTCTGTTTCTTCTTCTATAAAAATAGAGTCCAAAAAAAAAATGCCCAGTGCACAGGTTTCTCTAGAGCAGTGTTGCTCAAACTATGTGGTAAAGGACTAATTTTTATAATTTCTAGTCTGTCCCAGACCACTATATAGTCCTACTGTGTGTGACTAATAATCAGCTCCCTTCACCTGCAAAGCATTCCGGTTCAGGGACACCTAGAACTGGTCTCTACTTGCTTGAATGTTGCAACAAAGTCAATTTGTTAAGTTTCAAAACCTTTACTCTCAATTTCTGTAGCCAATTATTTGCAGATAACAAATATTAATAGTTTGCAGACCACCCTTTGAGGAGTACTGTTCTACAGCAGGGTTCTTTTTTTTTTCCAGCATATTATGGGGGTACAGATTTTAAGGTTTCAATAAATGCCCATTTCCCCCCCTCCCCCCACAAGTTTGAGTCTCCAGCATGACCATCCCCCAGATGGTGCACATCTCACTCATTATATATGTATATACCCGCCCCCTCCCCCCTGCCCAATACCCTATTACTGTAGTGCCTATGTGGCCACTTAGGTGCTACAGCAGTGGTTCTTAACCTGGGGGATTTTGCCCCCAGTGGACATTTGGCAATATGTGGAGACATTTTAATTATGTCGACTGGAGCTGTGGAGTGCTACTGGCATCTAGAGGGTAAAGGCTGAGAATGGTGCTAAACATCTTACAGTGCTCTGGATGGCCCCCTAGCCCCCTGAAAAAGAATCATTTATCCAACAGGCTGGTAGTATCCAAGTTGAGAAATCCTGGTCTAAAGGATAAAGTGGGATAATGAGTGAAAACTGCTTAGCAGAGTGCTAGGTACACAATGAGTGGTCAATACTAACACTGAGTTCATGCAGAGTCAAGATAATCCAGAAATGATACTACATGGCCACTTTGTAGACACATGGATGTACTCACAAGTTACAGTGGGAAGGGAGGACTTTGACAAGAGGCATAGTTATTAGTGAAGTTCTTCAAGCTTTAAACTTCAGGGTTCCTTCCAAAGTATGGGCACACATGCGTGTGCATGTGTGTTGAAAAGATTCTCTCAAAACTATCTTTCATAGATTTCCTTCAGAGCTAAGAAGAAAAATAAAAAAAAAAAAAAAAAAAAAAAAACTATCTTTCAGGTCGGGCACGGTGGCTCACGCCTGTAATCCTAGCTCTCTGGGAGGCCGAGGCGGGTGGATTGCTCAAGGTCAGGAGTTCGAAACCAGCCTGAGCAAGAGCGAGACCCCGTCTCTATTATAAATAGAAAGAAATTAATTGGCCAACTAATATATATAGAAAAAATTAGCCGGGCATGGTGGCAGATGCCTGTAGTCCCAGCTACTTGGGAGGCTGAGGCAGTAGGATTGCTTGAGCCCAGGAGTTTGAGGTTGCTGTGAGCTAGGCTGGCGCCATGGCACTCACTCTAGCCTAGGCAACAAAGCGAGACTCTGTCTCAAAAAAACAAAACAAAACAAAAAAAAAAACCTATCTTTCAAGCCCCACAAAACCTAGGTTCTGGTACTGGCTCCCACCCCGTCCTAGCTGTGTAACCTTGGGCAAATAACTTCACCATTCTGAGCTTCATTTTTCTTATCTGTAAAATAGGGTTGAAAACCCGTACCTTTCTCACTAAGCAACTGTGGGGTTCAAATGCATTCGTGTATAAAAAGCCCAACACATTGTATATAACAAATGCTCAACTGTCAATTACCATTATTACTATGAATATTAGTCGCTTTAGGAAAGAAGACAGAGTAGGGTATATGATGCGCCTTGTTGCCCTAGCCAGACCCCACAAAGCCAGAGAGGAGGAGACCCAGAGTGAGACCTAGGTCTCCCGATCCCAGTTCATTCAATTGCAACCAGAACATATCGAGAGCCTGCCGGGTCCCATGACTTGTGCTGGGGGGTAAAGCTCAGGTCTTCTGCCCCAGGCCTTCGGAGAGGGAGTCGCGGGGCTCCCTGAGAGGCCCCACCTGTACCCCCCGCCCTCACACATACCTCACCCACCCCCGTCCGTCCCGCGCGTGCAAGGCCCCGGCCGCACAGAGCGGCAGCAACGCAGGCCCCACACACGTCCCGCCAGCCCGCGGCTGCTCACCCAGGTTCTGCCCACGCAGCACTGCGTACGGCCGGCTCCACTTGAACGGATCCATGGGGTTCGGGGCCTCCGCCAGCCCCACCAAGAGGCTGCACAGGCCAAGGTACAGACACGTTAACAAAGGACGCAGCATCTTCCCAGCCCGTAGTGGCAGAAAGGCCATTTCCGCTGCAAGCCCCACCCCTATCGCCACCGCCGCCCGCCTTCTGTCGCTACTTCCGCCCGCTGGGCGCGCGCCGTTGCCAGGGTAACTGTACACCCGGGCTGAAGTTCCGCCTCTGCCCAAGGTTCGTCCGGCATTAACGTTCCCTCATAAGTAATGTTTCCTTCCGGACGAACTTTCCGCCGGATCAATGTTCCGTCCGGGCAACGTTCCGCTGGGATTACCGTTCGTCTGTGACCAATGTTACACCATCTTTTGGGCCTCTCTAGAGGTAAATAGATCCATTTTGGACCTATCGAAGGCTTTTTACGAATCCTTGCATTTTCTTATTAAATTTCTGTCATAATCCTGAGAAAGAGACACTGTCTACCCATTTTACAAATGCTAGCTTCTCAGGGAGCCCTTACCTAGACATCATTTTCTAAAATTGCAATCCTCCTTCTCCTTCAATGTACACAATCCCTAGCCTCCTTTTCTCTTTTATCCTGCCCCCGTCCCCGTTAGACTCATTGCCATTTACCTTATACGTTTAACGGACATTTTGTAGTTTTCTTAGTAACTCCTCGATAGAAATGTAAAGTTCACGAGGGTAGCGATTTTGTTCTTGTTCACTGCTCTATCCCAGAGACTAGCAGAATAGCATATTATGTTCAGTGAATGTTTGCTGAATAAATGAGGAAACTGAGCTTAGTTAAGTGTTTGGCCCAGTGGTATACACGGTGAGTGGCAGAGCTGGAATTTGATGCAAGCGTAATTCTGAATCTGGAGGCTTTATCACCTCACACACTGCCTCACCTCATTATTAAGGCTTGATTTGTAGTAATAACTCCCTGAAGATGGATGTACTATTCAAAGAGGACATGGGCAACGTTCTGTTAACTCTGGATGGTTATGCCCAAACTCATGATGTCCCAAAGGGGAGTGTCTTCATTTTATTAAAAAAAAAAATTAGCTGCCTACTGCTCCCTCTCCCTCACATATTAATAACTTCCGGTGTAATTAGGAAGACAGATATTCAACAAACAGCCACACAGAAAATTATATAATTCAAAATTGTGATAGATGCTATAAAGAAAAATAATAACAACAACGGGTGCTGAGGTTAGGAAGGCATATTCCCATAAAGCTGTAGGATTTTCTTTGCGGAGATCTGGCCCTAGGAACTGGTGGAAGGTAGGGCATGAAAAGAACCTCTGCCTTAAAGAAGGAAGGAGAAGGCTTCTCTTTAGATAAGATCAGGGCCCTGACTCATTACCTTCTCTTAGAGATTATACCAGGTGGGCCAATCAGTGCATGCTAATAATGGTGGCTACACATTGTCTGTTAAAGTAGAAGGAGGTAGTAGAGTATAGTGACAAGGCTTCCTGTTCCACTCCTGCTGCCTGCTACATCACCTGTTTGAGCCTCAGTATCTGCATCTAGAAAGTGGGGATGGGATGATAATAAGAGAATTGACTTCTAAGTTGTTAGAATATTGAATGAGATAATGCATGTAACATCACATACTGTGATCTATATGTTGGCTATTAATATTATTCTTCTGGTTAATGTGTCTCAGAAGAATGGGTTTGGATCGAACCCTAGAAATCATGTAGTCTAATAGCTTGTGGATTGTTGAAGTGTCTAGCTTTATCTTTTCTTCTGCTGCCCATCATTTAACTATTTCCCATTCAAAATGCCTTCAATAAAAGGATGAGCAAAAGAAATATAAGGAGGATAAGCAATTGTTTAAAGAGAGTGTGTTATATGTAATTATACTACAGGCACTCTGATTGTCTTTCTTTTCCTGCTTCAGGATTTTTGCTGTCCTTTTTGCCTTTGGTGCTCTTCTTTGAGAACTGTACATGGCAGGCCTCTGCATGGCACTACTGACACCTCAGTCTGGAAGTGTCCTTTCTTGATCCCTCAAAGCAGCCTCTGCAACCACTTGTCTTCACAGCCCTTGTCTTCCCTTCTGTAGAGTTCCCATCACTATCTGTTTTTTGTTCTTTCATTTTTTCCATTGTTGTCTGTCTCCCCCACTTACCTGTGAATTCCATGAAGGCAGGGACAATGTCTGGTTCACCACTCTGTCCCTGGTTCTGGAAGAGTGCCTGGAACGGAGTAGTGTCCTAAAAATTTATTGAGTGGATGTGGGAGCAATCATGTTAAGTAACTAACAGAGAAACATGTTTGTTCAAAAGGGTTGAGGGAGCAAGAAAAACAATAAAAATATGAAAAATAGCTTGTTTTCTCCACTTACTAACTTCACATGTATGTGTACATTCTTAAAATAGTGGACCATTCAGAATTAAATACAATAATTTCTACCACCAAATATTCAAAGCCCTTGACCTTTTGACGCCTGGCTCATTGTGTGTTGCCTTCTGGCGATTTCTGAATGTCTCTTATCTCCCTAATTGGATTATAAACTTTCCATCAGAGGTGTGGGACACCTAGTTAAATCTGAATTTCAGATAAACTACTATTTAGTAAAACTCCATCCCAAATATTGCATAGGATATCATACTTGTTTTTTGAAATTCAAATGTAATTGGGCATCCTGTATTTTTAACTGCTAAAACTTAAGTACTTATCTATGCATGTCCAGGTCACTACATTTAAGTGATACACTTATATTTATATTTTCTGTACAGAAACATTAAAAGCAAAAATGAAGAATTTGGAGGGAGGTACCAATTAACTAATTAATATTCTGGTGAAATAGGTACATAATATTTATTATTTTAACCAGGTGTAAGTATATAATTAATACATTGACAAGCTGTATAACCATCACCACTATCTATACCCCAAACGTTTTCATTATCCCCAAGAAAAACTCTGTACTCTTTAAACAATACTTCTCCCTTCCTCCCTACCCCCAACCTCTGGCAACCTCTATTCCACCTTGTCTCCATGAATTTGGTCATTCATGTAAGTGGAATCTTGTAATGTTTGTTATTCTGTGTTTGGTTTACTTCACTAAGTTTAATGTTTTCAGGGTCCATTCATGTTGTTGCACATGTCAAACTTTCATTCTTTTTTGTGAATGAAATATGCTATTATATGTACATATTAATATTTTGTTTATCCATTTACCTGCTGATGGACACTTGGGTCATTTCTGCCTTTTGACTATTATGACTAATGTTACTATGAACATTGGTATACAAATATCCGTTTGAGTCCCTGTTTTCAATTCTTTTGGATATACACCTAGGAATGGAATTGCTGGGTCATGCATTAGTTCTTCATTTAACCTTTTGAGAAACGACCAGACTGTTTTCTACAGTAAGTGCATCACTTTATACTTCTACCATCAATGTATGAGGGTTCCAATTTTTCCACATCCTTGCCCACACTTGTTATTTTCCATTTTTAAAAAATTATAGCCATCCTAAGGGGTATGAAGTGGTATCTCATTATGGATTTCATATGCATTGGGAGGCACTAATTTTAACTTAGGAAAGAAGTGGTTTGTTACTGTGATTTAGGAAAATACTTTAGTAGTCTTTTTGGTTGTAAAGGCAAAGACCACAGTTTGGAATAGAGTTGAAGATAAAGAACTAAATTGCTCTGCATAGTAAAATCATTATAATGCCGATTTCCACCTGGTACCTGAGAAACGTGGTAGGGACCTTGAGATGGGAGGATGATACCAGAAGCAAGAGAAGGGACTTGGTTGGGAGGAAGCCAACCATAGCATCATGGCATCAGAGAGCTCAAAAGATGGGCAGTGAGTGATATTTGGGATTTTAGTTTCTGTGGCTTTCTATTCTATGCTGTGATTCCAAACCCACCTCATGCCTGAAACATCAGTAAAAGTGGATTATACACCCCAAAGATGCACCTCTTAAATTAGGGGTACTTCGGGTAATAAAGGAGGGGGCTGTGTCTGTGTCTGGGGTGACTCAGGCTAGACACAGAACTGCAGCCTTAGGAGTGTTGAGGAAACCATCAAGGGTGACAGGAAAAGATATGGGAGAAGTTCTGAGCAAGAAGTGACCATCAGGAGAATCCTCAGAGATAGACAGAGCTCTAGATTTCCCATAGTGATGACAAAGTAGACACTGGATGTTTTTTGGCTGCTTAGTATCTGTTCCCTCTTCTTCTGGTTACAGCTGGTGATCTGGGGAAAGCACCCCTGCCTCCCAGCCAGTGGGATCCCCATGTGTTAACTCCAGGAATGTGCACACGCTCTAGACCTGGCCAATCAGCATCTTCTGTCCCTCGGGCTGCAGTGATTGGTTCAGGACCAAACATGCAACCTGAGCTGGACCAATGAGAGTTATATCTAGTCCTTTTCCAGCCACTTTGAGGAAGATGCTGATTTTTTTTTTTTTTATCTGCCTGAGTTGTCACCTGTTGGGTGGAGCCTGTGGGATGATGAAGCCAACCAAGAGAGAAGTTCTGAGAGGGTTGGAGAGATGGAAATGGTATGTAATCTGATGCCACTGAGCATTTTAGCCCCACTCCTGGGCTAGACTTTGAAGTGCCTTAAGCTAATCAATTTCATATTTTACTTTAGCTTATTCATTGAGTTGAAGGGGCTGCGATTTTCACCCAAAAAGACCCTGACATGGTGGACCTGTAGAAACTTGAGTTGAACAAGTACCCCAACTATTTTAGCAAAGGGAATGGTGTCCCCCTTGTTGTTCTGTTCCTTCAGCTGATGTAGGACACAATTGTCATTAATTTACAGCAGTGCATTTGGGTATTTCTTCTACCACTACTTTGAAATAAAATAAGAATTCCGTATGTGGCCTTTTTGCTCTTTTAGACAATTTTTCTTACTTGGGCATTTGTCATGGCATTTTTTTTTTTTTTTTTTGAGACAGATCTCGCTTTGTTGCCCAGGCTAGAGTGAGTGCCATTGCGTCAGCCTAGCTCACAGCAACCTCAAACTCCTGGGCTCAAGTGATCCTGCTGCCTCAGCTCTCCAGTAGCTGGGACTACAGGCATGCGCCACCATGCCCAGCTATTTTTCTATATATATTAGTTGGCCATTAATTTCTTTCATATTATAGTAGAGACGGGGTCTCGCTCTTGCTCAGGCTGGTTTCAAACACCTGACTCGAGCAATCCGCCGCGGTTGGCCTCCCAGAGTGTGAGGCATTTAAAAAATTTTAAAGCCCAGCAGAAGTAGAGCATCAAATAATGACAGGAGACTGGCTTCCAAAAACATTCTATATTTAAAATACAGCTGCAGGATGTATATTTTAGGTACATTTAGAGCAGAGATCAGCTGTCCTGTCCTGTACATTTGCTTCCTTTGCTGGTAATCAGGTCATCTTCTCCATTTTTCTTAAACAGAATTGTGTTTATGCTCTTCTGGCCTGAGACAAGGTCAAATTTAGTTACATCAACATACTATTTGAAACCATCAACTCAGCAACTTTTGCCCTCTGTCAATTTGAGTACATCACTTTGAGCACTTCTTTTTGTTTGTTTGTTTTTCTGTTTTGAGACAAAGTCTTGCTCTGTCATCCAAGCTAGAGTGCAGTGGCGTTATCACACCGCACAGCAACCTCAGACTCCGGGCTCAAGCAATCCTCGCCTCAGCCTACGAGTAGCTGTAGTAGGCGTGTGCCCACCATGCCCGGCTACTTTTTCTATTTTTGTAGAGATGGGAATCTCACTCTTGCTCAGGCTAGTCTCCATCTCTTGGCCTCAAGCAATCCTCCTACCTTAGCCTCCCAAAATGATAGGATTACAGGTGTGAGCCACCATGCCTGGCCTACTTTGAGCACTTCTAATGTCACCTGTTTCATTTGTTTAGTAGACAACACCAAGTCACAACTATATTCCAGAGAATATTGTGAACCTGATCAAAAATTTTCTGTGTCAATGAGCCTCACTTTCTTCATTGGTGGCCTTTCAAGTTTGTGTTTAGACCTCAAGACTAACACCCCCATCAAGCAAGCATTTGAAATCTGTCTCTAAACACTTATTTTCAATCAACAGGAAACAGATGTAAGTTCGTTGTTCCATTCTTTCTGTTTAGAAATTTGTATGGAATGGCTCTTGCTCATGGAGAGGACA